GTTGATTTTTTATTATTTCACAATCTTTATTGCGGTATCGCGCGATATTTGCATCAAATATGGACGTCAGAACGTGAGGGAAAATAACGTAGAATCGCAGAGTATTAAGCAAATGTTCAAGAAAGACATCGTTACAAAGACATACATTTACTGAACATTATAAAATTAAAATGAAGGAAATCGGATGAAAATTGATAAGAACCGACCGGTTTATTGATAAAAAAGACGCAATTTTGCCGCCACCGATAGAGGGCGCTTTGACGTCATAGTAACGCTGTTTATTTATAAAATAATGCTGCAGAAGTAAAGCTTACATATCTACATGTCTGTATACCAAAAATCATCAAGATCTGAGATATTGTCAAATTTAGGTCGGAAAGTAGCGAGCTACCTTAATAGTGATAGTTAACTAAAGTGGATATTTAAAGGAAAAATGATCCGCTTTAAATCTATTATAATAAATGACAAATAATTTAACATTAATCTTTTAAATGAAAACAATATATGAAAATTAAAAAAAAAACATATTTCTTTTATTTTCAACAATTTAAAGCAGTCTATAATGCCTATCGTTTTTAATTGAAGATCATTTTGCAATTTACAGTTACTGTATATTTTACTTTTAACTTGAAATATTTGATTTAATATGTATTGATTATCTTATAATGTTTTTAACATTATTGTTTTGTCATTAGTTTGTTTTTTAAAAGTTATTTCTCATCATACGCCGATTTCTCCTCTTGTCTGGCATCTCATTATAAGACAAACTAGTAAACTAGTTGCATTAAACATCTCTTCTTGATGTGAGTTTGCCTTTATTCCAGCAAATATACTTTCTGTTGAATTGCTTTTATATTGATTAAGTGAACGTCTTTTGTTTCTCAAAAAATGTCATAATTGTGCTATTACGATATTGAATTCACGTTTCATTTATTGCCAATAAATCATCCTTAGTTTTTATATTTTGTCTGCGTACTGTCTATAAAAAGTACTTTATTTAATAAAATTATCCACAAAAGCTGGAACAAGAAGTTATGGTTAATATAATAAATGCCCTGCTGTCTAAACATATCATTCACCACACACATGTCTCCACCAAATAAAAGTTCCTTCTGATATTCTTGGGAAGTAAAATGCGTTGTTTTGAAACTTGAGAAAATTACGAATTACTACCCAGAGAAAAGGAGTTTCTGCCATACTTTATCTTAGTACTTTATCTATCCATTTTACATAATGTATTATATTTATCAATCAATTTTTTCCATCAAAAAAGTCTGAACTTTTTCAAATTGTATCTATTAAAACATCTTGTTTGATCAAATTGTATCTCTCAAAACAAATTTTATTCTGAATTGATTTTACTTATATTCAAATTACTAGTGGGTAGTTGTCTGTATTATAGTAAAATGTCAACTTAAGAAAATGCAATGTTTTATAAATTTAAAGCATATTTACATTAAATGTTTTGAAATGTATGTACTCATATATTTGTTGATATTCATTTACAAAGATTAACTTTTATACTTCTTAAATACCTGTAAGACTGAAAAACGTTTGTATATTCCCTTTAGAGCGATAGAGGCACACACGAAAACTGTTCTAAATAATTGAAATCCAACTTTAAATAGCAGCATGATATTTGGATCCGGGACATTCCCAAAATTTCCGTACACTGTACATGTGTGTTAAATATTAAGAATAATCTATGATATAATTCTTTCTAGTATACATCATTACACTATAAAACAACGTCAGTTCACCTTTTAAAATTTGTATCAACATATTGTATTTTTAATTTAAAATTTACGCTTTATTCACTTGTTATTGTAAACGTTCTTACATTTTTGCTTTGATTGCAACCAGTTACGGGTTACATTGTCGGGATTTTATGAAACACATATTTCATTTAAATGACTCCATATATATTATGTTCTGATACAAAATTATAGTATTGTGTCATTTTGACAATTTGAAAAAAAAAATGTTTTCTAGTTAATTACAAATTAAAGATGATCACAAATTATTGTAATACTAATGGACCTGCCTTTTTATTACGATTATAAATTGTGTTCAAAATATAGACATATTATATGCGCACTAACCAACATCTCCATTCATTTAGACCTAAATTTGTGATGTTATGTCAAAAATTATTTTATATCTTTTAGAATTTGTTTATAGGTTAAATGACAATGGATGTATTAATATAAGTTTCAACGTGCTGTTAACATATTGTAACGCAGAATGTTTCCGTGAAAATTGATCACAGCAGCAAACAACCAATTCAATGATTAAACAGTATGTTTCTTGCCAGATATGATATATAATTTCTACTTACATAAAGTGTATACTCTTTGTAACTGTGAGAAACGTTTGCTAAAATGCATTTATATTTCCCTTTTGGAATAATCAGCGATAGGAAAAAATATCTCATTATCCTAAATGAAAAACAAGTTCATAATTTTTGACATACTATCCTTTGTAACAAAGAGTATATTTCTAATAATTTGTCATGCATTCTCGTATTTGCACTCATTCAATTTACCAAAAGATCTAAATGTATATTTTCCACCGCAATTAGAGTAATGAAGATTACAGTTCAATCACTTTAAATTTTGAAGTATATGATGCTACAGTTTGACTAAAATAAAGCATTTGTTAGGAAATTTATGAACAAGCTATGTCTGACATTAACATTATACCACCTGAAACACTTTATCATCTATTGTTATTTTAGCATTTATCTTTCATTGATTAATGGGAATATTCAGCGCATCATCTCAATAAAATATATAACAATTACTATCATAGCAGATAAATATGAACGCGAACTGATCGTTGTGTTAACCATCCAGTTTTTCCTTGATATCAATTCCGTCTGCAAATTTACACATAAGATCGTATATTAAAAAATAATGTTGAGATAAAAACCGTGCTCATAAAATCCTTGAAGCATCCCCTTATACATTAATAATAGCTAACAATAATGTTTGAAAAGGGTGTTTTAGTCCATTTTTAGGAATATTTCAAATACTATTATTTAAAGAAGTTACTTTAAACTAAATGTATCAGATATGACAAATAATTTATATTTATCTTTTAAAACATAAATATGAGATTATATTGATCGTTCTTTTAAACAATTAAACAATGTAAAAAAATCTAGAATTCCTTAAGTTTTATTGAAGTTTATAATTCAATTTACAGTATTTACCTTATTTCCTATTAAGATGATACGATTTAATATATCAATTTAATATCATTCATCTGTATACTCTTTTAAGCATTATCGTGTTTTGTCTGCGTACTGTCATATAAATATATATTATTCAATAAAAAATGATCTACAAAAAATACCGAGATTAGACATTATAAATTCATTATATTTTGTTATTGTATGTTATTATATATTATTAAAATATTTAAACAATATTAAATCATCTCGTAATCACTAAACGAAACGTGCTTCGATATAGTACTGCGCAAATAATAAAAGTTCGAAATAAACATTTAAAGTCTGATCCGAAAGTTTTATTTACAAAATTTAATGCAAACAATAATATATGTTTCATATCCATTATCATGTTTTAAAAGTTACACGAATTATTGCTCGTCTTATATAAATGGTTTATTTACACACAGATCATCTCACCGGCACGCGAACTTTATATCACACTTTACCCGACGTTCATGTTGCCAAAATTAATTAAGAAAAGAATATTTATATTTTGTGTTCAGACGCTAATTAGATTTTAAGTAAATATAATGTTTCAAGTGCAAAATTATATAATATTCCAACTGTATCCCTTTCCTTCAGAATATATTGGCAATTGATTACACGACGGAAGTAACACCCGCCTCTTAGACCGTTTGTGGCTCTGACTTAAATGGATTTAGATACTGGGGCGGTCTTAATGTCGGGGTTTTGTCATCAATGTGGTTTTTAAAATATATTTTCCTTCGTTTTCCATTACTTAACAACAAACAGATTAATGATGAATGACTCAACATTAGTGTAAAAAAGATATATCTTATATGTTCGATAAAATAATCGTTCTGATACTTCCTTCATATTTTAGTAAGTTTCGATCATACTTATCACTTGAAAAGAATCATGTTATGCAATATATTTTGTAGAATTATATACGAAAGCAATGACACATTAACATTTCATTCATATAATAGGCCCTACTTGTGTTTCGAATAAGGAGTGTTTTTATGTACACATTATTACGTTTATTTATCAAACTAAGCGTCTAGTAATTAAACCTAAAGGATGTCAAGTTACCTCATTTAAACACACATCTTTACTGATATATTGCCATTTTTAATTTTATTTGCATTCATACCTCTTTAAAATAACATAATTAGACATTCATTATGACATCTATTGCTTTGCACTCATCTGATAAGAACTTCGTATTGAACCAGATGTAATCAAATGACCAAAGTAACAACCAGAACATGCCTACGATATTTTCCCTATATAATAACATTGATTGAGTTAAATAACTTGATTACAAACTTTGAAGTTCATATTTTTGTTAATATAAAAAAAGAAATGTAAAATGTGTATAAGGATAAGGTAATATTTTTACATCCTATGTATATATTTCCCATATGAGCAGAAACAGCCCATTAGATCCGTCGTTTAAAAAGAGCTCGACTTACGGCTAAAAGTCTAACACTATATTTGAAAATATTTCACCGATCGCCTGTGACAATTCAAATTGAAACATATTCATTCAAAGGATGATGAAGAATATAAATCGATAATTAATGCTATAATTCTAAATCCGAGTTGTCTTAAAATCGTGTTAATGCTTTTCAGTTGTATATATATTTTTGCACATTAATATAACTACTATAATGGAACAACCGATCCGAACCGAATGGGCTGCAATTTTGCACACAATTTATTGTAAAAATCCACATTAAATGGTATACAATTCTTGAAAAGATATTTCCAGTCCTGTCACAAGGTCCTTATGTACCAAGCAATAGGGTATGTAAGTCTCGTCATGTGACTTGCGAGATTTCACGATATTTTGCACTTCCGGGTACAAACAAATATCAACAACATTGCTTATCTATATTGGGTAATACTTGTATGCCGGTGGGAAAGTAAAACTTACATGGAAAAGCAAATGATATGTGGAAATTGGCAGAGTTTTTTGTTTTGTAACGAAATGCAAATGGTTTCATCTTGTGTACAAGTATCAATGAAAGACAACTTCGTATAATCTTCAGGTGGGTGTGTCATTTCAAATTCAGTTTATCCCAATAAATGTTGTAATATTTTCATTTCCATGTAAATCTAATAAATTTGTTTTTTGATACAACATCATTCGCATCTGACACCAGACTGGTGAATTTGATTTTATCAAATTTTCTATAGCGCTACCTGATTATCTCTCAGAAGTATATAATGTTTAGAAATTTCGGACAGCGCATATTTCGGATAAACGTTTTAATATGATTATCAATGTGTTTTAGTTGAATATATTTTCTTCCAACTGAAAATATTATTTATTTATAATTATTATCTATATAAAGCACAAACAGTCAAGCTGTATATAACCAATTTTAAATTGTCATAAAATTTAATGAAATATTTTTGCTCCTGTAGATATTTTGACAGAGACAGTGGTGAGATGAAAGACGTCAGTATCCATTGTAAATACACATGCATGCTCTGCTGTAAAATCGTTTTGGTAAGAAATATATACTTAAAGCTACTTAAACTACATTAATGAAAATAAATATTATTGTATAACATATAATGTTCTCGTTTTTGTAAATAATTACAGTGTAGCTAAATAAACAAACAGTATGGCATATGTAGTTAATTCATGTTAAATACTGTTTAAAGTATTTTTTCTCAAGTAAGTGGGTCATATTTTTTAGTTAAATCATGTTCAGTAAATGGTTAAAAGAACTTAGTCACTATCACATTTTTTAAAGATCAGTTGTCAAAGCAAATCTACAAAAACTAGGACACCAAGAAGTGTTTCTTCCTTTTCAACATTATTTTCTATTCATGACAATATGAAAATGATTGAAATTTATAGCTGACCAATTATTATTGCTTTCAACTCATGATAAATTTTCTTTATATACAGGTATGTGATTTCATGGTTGGATCTTGAGTACTTGTCATGGCTCTTGATTTATTTTGGAGTGTTCACCATCAGATTAGAAATCAAATAGTGATACCACCAGGCATAGTTGAAAGAAAATGTCCATACACAGTCTTGGAGTACATAGTGGTAGAGACATGGCAGTCCATTACAGATTTTGACTGAATTAAAGCTTCTTAAAGCCCCATGTCTTGTGTAAACTGTCTGACTGAATGTTTGTATTCTAATAAAAACTAAGGTTGAAGACACTTCAAAGATATATATGTCAGTGTAAAAATGTTAAACAAAATATATGTCTTTGTTAGAAATAAATAACCTGTCTTTATTAGAAATAAATAACCTGTCATTTGTAACTTTGTATTAACTTAATTATTCAAAGATAATTTATCTTCTGCAAATGGCTGCCCAAAACAGTTTCAACCAGGCATCATGTAGTTTCAAAACAGTTAAGATAAATTTGTTATGAATAGACTTGTAAAGTAACAGGAATGGTAAAAAGATAAATGTTCAGCATTAAAATGTTTCCATCTTGATTGATTCATTTCATATTATCACCATGATCACTGCAATTGCTTTTAACTTCTGTCCATGTACATATGTGTAAATGTAGTCATTGAAGAGCTGTCATCAATATTATTTAGATAGTGTCTGTTTCGATTTCAGGACAGACAAAATTCAAATGACATGCATAGTACTTAATATAGTCAATGCTTGCATATTCAAGCAATCTAGCCATTGCTGTTAGAGAATTAAAGTACACAGTGACACTTATTTTGCAGATGAACTCTTATGATCAAGCACTGCTATAAATATATGCCAAATAGTAGAAACAAAAAACAGTTCATAAGTTTAATAAACCTTTATTTTTACAAAATTTATAGTGCACTGCTTAGCATATATATCACACTGATTTTCCAGTGGAATCATATTCTAATTGAAAAATGTTCAGCTTGATATCAAAGCTTTGAATGCAAATTTGTGAGCTTAGCTATCAATGATTACCTCACAATATTAGTAGTAGATGGTATATAATATTTTTGCTAATCTTTACTTCATAGTCATTTAATGTCCATAATGTCATATGACTATACTGTGATTCCATGAAAAACCTTATCTCTGGTGTGTTATCAGCTTTGGTATATATAGAGTATCTAGTTTTAATACTTAAAACTGCAATGAAATGTGGATATTTTACTCTGTTTCTATCATTGTGACATTAACATGTTAACAAGATCATAGTGTCAAACACCTTAAAATCATACTCTTTATACATTAAGATTTTTGTGCTGGATGTCATTCATCTTCTTCAGGATGGTACATTTGACTATTCTCAGTGGCTTATATTAAACTAATATTTCACTGTAACTGTGTGTTCTCTGATATCATTCTCAAATTAAGGAACTGGAAGATGGTAGTTGCAATAAAAGGTCTTCATGGACAAATCCTCCTTCATCTTTTCCCTTTTTATCTGCAGAATGAAAAATCAATAAATATGTTGTTAATGCAAGTGTAAGACACTAGAAATTATATTTACATTACATTTAATAAGCTGGTCATGATTGACAGAAACATTTCATATTTGAAGTAAATAAACATTAAAGATAAACAACAACACATATTGATCTTCTTGAATGTGAAACATGACTGTTTTTAATGTTTTATTTACTTATCAATTATCATGCAGTGAAATCCAAAAGTTATTAATATATTTTGATAATTGTTTATCTTTCCGATCTCAACTAAAAATTAATCAATTATTTTACATGTATTTACCTTTTGATGTATAGATATTTCAGGATCATAGCAGTGCAAACAGTTGATTAATGGTCCATATTGAACAACTGTATATTCTATACTTGTCATATACCTCCTTGTCTATACATCTGAAATGGTTTAATCAAATATTATATTTTTTAATTCAATCATAATTTGCTAGATACCATATTAACATGTATATATAATTGAAAAAGGAACAAGAATAAAATGGATGGAAAAAATATCCGAATTACTGTGCAATGTCCGAATTTTGTATAACTTTAATATACACTAGAATTAAAGTGTTTCTCCATTGTTTTTTTTCAATAAGTTAAAATGGTTTGAATTAATTTCTCACATCAGTAGTTTTAAAACAATACTAAAAGCTAAATAACTAGAATTCACTACCTTGACAAAACACCCGAAACAATTGTCACTATCCGAAAATAAACTAGTTTTATTAAACTCTATAAATCCCTCGTTTTTCCGTCAGATAATTGACCTACCTGCATTTTTTGACCCGTGCTATCCATTCCTTCAAATCTGAAGAGGACCGAAACAAATTTAACTTCTATATCCCTCGAGTTCTTCGGGTTACCTATATGCGCAACGGTAAATAAGTCTGCCGATGTACCCGGAAGTGGTAAATCGAAAGTGAAAGTAAACGAGACTTACGGGCCCTATGAATTTTACTCCATACATTACTAAACTGGTTATTATTGATAGCTTTTTAAACTCTTTTCGGTAATATTTGAAGATTGTTCTTTTCAAAGTGACATTATACTCATATTTTCATAGTAAATTTGAGCTGAACTGACTATATATTTCAAAAGATTGACTGTTAAAATGGTGATTGACCAACGGGTTATATTGGAAAATGTTAACACTAATTTTTGAATCTGCCTAAAATATTAAAAAGACTGTCCCACACTGTAACATAAATGAATATGTATTCTTTTTTACTTGGTTACGTATTGCGATAAGCTACAGAAACCTCATTTAGTCAGTGCATCCTTTTTCTGCTCAACATTACTGTTAAAACATTCATGATCCTACTATCTTTTATGTATGCATGTATTAATCTAGTGTGTTCAATCAATTATAATCATATGAAATCATTTTTAAAAATTATCCATGATAAATCGAAATAACATTAAACACAATAATAATAAAAAATATAGGGTTTTAGAAATATTTTGTTATATGTTAATTTATTATCATTGATTTAGTTTTGTTTAAACATATCTAATTGAAAAACATAAAACAACATATTATATACAAATGACAAGTATATAAAAAAACAGCAAATGGTTTCGGCAGCAAGTTCTTACAGAGATAGATTAAGCGTTTTTGGATTGTCAAATTCATTATCCTCATGTTAAAAATGAGCATCAGCAAGCAGTTATTTCAATAATTCTTTCAGAGAAAAAATAAATAAAAACAAAACTCGTGTTATCCAAGTGAATTCAAACAATTAAAATCAAAATTAATTTGTACGGGTCCACGTGTCATCGTGTTAATCATATCCATTTTATAATAACCTGTTTATAGATATATCTTAATTTTTATAAAGGTGTTTGTTAATCGTGTTAGCGGTATTCCTTACCAATACTTACTTCTATTTAATTTACATAGATGTCATATATTGTGACGTCAATTGGTTTTTATGACTTTGTTCAAGAACAAGGTCAAATTTTCTTCTAGAGAAAATTTAAAAGAGACATTGCAGGTTAACTAGAAAAATGAGTGTTTATGTGTTATGCATTTTATCTGCGTTGATGTAACATTTTTTTAAAATTATTTTTTTTTTTTTTCAAATATTATATGTTAAAAACTACGTTACTACCTTGCAATCATTCTAAATACCAAAATATCGATTAAGTAAATAACGAATAAAACATACTGATTATTTATAAATTTTGGGCTGGGGAACTTTATACACTGAATAAATCTTTTGAATTGACTTTACTTGAGTTGACTTTTAATTATAAAAAAATATTTCATAAAATTCTAATAACTTTTAAAAATTCAAACGATAGTTACGTCAGATTAACCAACATATTTGAAGTTATTAAACATATGATGACGTCTTCTTTGTATTTAGTACACTTTTACTCATTTTATCCTTCGTGCAATGGCCCAGGTATTAGACACAGATATTTACTATGAAATTGTGACTTAATCTATTGTCTTAACAACATACATTTCATGACATTTGAAAGAAATATAGCCATAATAACGAACGCATTAATAAGAAAACAACATCATAAAGACAAAGAATCTATAGTTAATAGTAAGCATCTAATGTCATTTTCAAGTTTGTCTGACAACGGTAGGCAGAAAAAGCAATTATTATGAACGCCACAACAGACGACCTTTTTATGACTTCAAATCGATTATTTCAATGATTTGTAAACTGTTTTCAAGAATCTAGTTATTATTGGTCATAGATACTATAAATCAAGCAGAAAACGGTTTATTTCAGAGGACGCATACAGCTATTGTTTAAACGGTTGTCAGTACAAACTTTTAATTTTCGTCACACGTTTGTTTGGTATCACATAAAGAAAAAGGATTTATCTCACAGTGTACAAAAACATTATTTGTAATATCACTTTCCGGATTAACATTCAGCAGCATACTATTTAGAATGAGTTTCTTTGATTGAGACAATCATTATAATTGACATACATGTATATGTTTTGGCCTGACACTCCCACTGTCTGGGCAAACATCCAACGATTTATAAACTTCATTCTGTCAGTTATCTTTTATTTATGAATGGATTTTAAATAAGTTAAACAAAATGAAAACATGTTGCACGGAAGAATATGATCTCTATCTCATATTTAAAGGTACAATATATATACTTTAAAAGTAATGACAAGATCTCTCTTCAATGTGCATTAATGTTATCCATTTATGTATTTTATAATTATAAACTTATTAGTTATTTGACTGTAACTACATAAATATTTTAATGAGAATGAGAACAGTTAACGTTTCATGTGTATTAATCCGCGAATTGTTGGTCAAACCTCTACTAGAGCTTTATTAATCCAGTCGAAATAATATTTCTAATATCAACTAAATGGAAAGAACTATATATATTTAGGGAAAAAGCTTGATTATTTTTGTCGTTTTTTTTGGGGTCTTTTTTTGTTTGTTTAATGTTCGATTAATATTAGGTGACTGATCTTACTATGTTAAAAACAGAGGTTAGTAGTTCAACATTCCGAGGCTGTCCTTTCGCACATAAAAATGTATGATAAAATTATCTTACATTTTATTTTTTTGGCGTGTATTCTGATTTTCTTTAATATTCTTAAAAGAAAAAAAAACATTCGCTGACTTAATGTGTTAAATGATTTGTTCTCTGACATTTTAAAAGACAAAGAAATTGTAGCATTTACATCGTATTCATACAATTTATAGAATTGATAACCAAATTTTGTAAACGATGGGAAATGTGAAACCTGAAGGCATTTTGAAGTAGTTTTGTTATTAAGAAAATGTCTTTTTTAAATTTGTTAATAAATATCTAGTTTAAATGAATAAAACATTACTATGTGTGCAAGTATAGTGTCAACCGTACACTTTAAGCATGTTTACCCTCCGACAGATATCAGTATTTATAAAATTCTGTGTTACCTTTGGCCCTTGTCAAGAGTTTGACAGCTTGTCTGGTGTAGGGAACAGGATATTTAAAGAAAGACACTGTTTATACAAATGTCTTATCATATGAAGACTAGAAATTGATATGTAGGCAGTTAACAATTCCCAAAAATATTTGACCTTTGTTTTTCTAAATAAGTTATATGTACTGATGAAAAATTAAAAATCAGTCAATATATAGAATTTCTTTACTTTAAATTGAGTATGACTTTAATAATAAATAGTGTAGTTTAAGACGGAAATAATAAGGTGGTTTTCTTTGATTTATCTTTAAATTTCCTCGCTCTTAAACGATTTGCTCTAGATAAGTTATTGTCCCAAAAATACCTTTTATCTAATAGTTCTTCAAGTAGTTCAACTCCCTGAAATTTTCTTTTTGAATGTCTAAAAATATATCATTCTTACAAATGTCAGATTAATAACATCTAAACCCCTTTCAAAGTTCCATTTTGTTTATCTGCGGATGTTGCCGTGTTGGGCTTTCTTAAGGGATTCTTATTGTCTCTTTAATTTTAGTTTGACAAAGATGTTAACTAGAATGTAAAATACAGCTGAAATAGCAAAATATTTATAACAAATATGGCAAAGAATGATTTGAATCATATGATTGTCTATATTTGATACAAATGTATTATTTATTATACTGTGTTCATAATAGAGAAAATAGGATTCCAAAATGGCAAAATTTAAGATGTTGCAGGCTCTGTTCGATTGAGCCTCTTCATAGACGGTACTGTCGAGTGCAAACTAACATCACGCCCCTAGCACCGGCGTATGCAGATTTCAAGGAAGCTTAGTAAAAGCCGTTGTT